GCTGAGTCAACGTACTGAGGACGCCCGGGCCGAGACCGCAGCGAAGGGGGTACATGACTCGATACCTTTCGCGGAGAGCCATGGCGTCCTCCAGGCAAAGACCCCGGGGAAATAGCTGATGTCGGCGAGTGAGACTGGCGATCACGACCGCCTAGGTGTGTGAAATAGCCTGCTTGAGCCGACGCATTTCCAATGACCGGTGTCGTCTGCGTAGACTGACCACTGGCTCGCTTCTTTCTCCGGTGCGAAGTTTGTTGGTCCTGTTCCAATTGCTGGAATTTCTTCTCTGCTGCAGCAATTTTCCGTTTATCTCGAGCCGAGAGCTCAGATTCGCCGAATATAAGCCCTTCAGTAGGGGTCTGCAATGTAGGTGTGAGATCGCGACTACGGGTCTGACCTCGTGCAGAGCCTGATGTGGAACGGGTATCTGTCTGATCGTCCTCTTCCAGGTTTTTAGTAGCCTCGCTGCCAGCACGGCTATTGGACGCTGGGGGAGAAATGTTCGATTTGCTTTTAGCTTTCTTCCGTTTTAGACTTATCTGCTTCGAGTTGGTATCCAATGCTCTCGGGTGCCGACGGCGATCCACATTAGCCAACAAACAACTGGGTGGGGCAACGCAGGCACAGCCGCCAAAGTGAGATAGTACGTTGCTAATGCACATGGCCGCCACATCTTGTGCGTTGTCACTGAACTCCTGCTTGACGACACCATTGGTCGATTCAAACAATTGTGGGTCTAGGTACCACATGGCGGTAATCTCTGAATCGGCTGCTATGTCTTCTTTAGCAACAAAGCAAAAATGATACTCCACTTCGTTAGTGATGAAGGTTTTGATGGTGACGTTAGGACGACAAGACCGTCGCGCATAGCGGAGTATGTTTCCCTCATGGCGACTATCGATATAGAGAGGCAGTTGAGGGTGGAAGAAAACGAAAGGCTCTGGATGACGAAGCTCCTGCCAGCGGTTACTGGCTTCAACGCAGTATTTCCACAGTGGTCCGATTTTGCCCGTGATCTCTCCTACAATCTCGTCCTTCCGGACGGGATCCCGTGTCTTGAGGATCTTCCAAGTTGGATGAATTCCGTCAATGTCAACGTTCGGATCGCCGATGGTCTCTGTTGCAAGAGAGGGCCAATGTGACCTGTCCAGCGCCCCACCCGACCAAGTGAAAACATCCTGCGCAGAGCGCCCGTTAGAAGCGCTAGCGAGTGCGCCTGGCTCGTTCACCCACCTCGCCAAATGCGTGGCAAGTTCAAGATTGACAAACAGATTACTATCTGTATTGACATGGTTGTCATGGTCATAGAGATGGAGAAATTCATTCGAATATAAGGGAATAGAAGGGCCTGATGATTTCGTGGGACTCATTGATGTCGTGGTACGTTTACGAGAATCTGGAGGAAGAGATGGCACACCAGCCAAGGAGCTGACGGACCCAGAGGCACGATGGTTGGTTTTAGCCTTCTTCGCCGGAGGCTGGTCGCGAGCACTGGACTCGGATCGATTGTGGATGCCGTTTACTTGTTCGCCATCCTTAGCCTTTTTCTTCTGGCTCTTTGTCCCTGAACGTTTAGCTTTCCGGTCACCGCCATCGCTCTGTTCCCTGAGACGTCTCTGCCGCTCTGTGGCACGCCTGCCGTCCAAAGGCCGGGGCTCACAATCGACGCAATTGTGGACCTCTGGTACGTCCCGACCATGATAGTAGCACTCGATATGTTGCCACGTCTCGCACCCTTCGCAGAAAACCGTGTTCCCATCGTCATCTTCGAAGGCACAGATGCATTTGATGGTATACGGTTCCTCTTCTTCGGGGGCAGCGGAGTCGGAAACGGCGCCGTTGACGGCAGGCGAATTCAGAGGGACGGCGACCGGATAAGGCTCCGTGGCTGGATGCGTGATGACGACAGGGGAGGTATCTGTCATAATCTGACAGGATACCTCCTCTCAGGCTAAACAGTGAACGCGCAGTGGGTTTCAATTGGAAGAAAGGCTCACGGATAACCCGTCAAAGCCCAGCACGCATGTCACTTATTGCCAAACCGACAATTGCCTCCTTAAATAGCTCGTTATAATCAGCGCTGGTACAGCCAAAAGGCTGAAGATCCACGGAGGAAACCGTCAATAAAGGAGAGCAAGACCAAGAAAATTCCGGTATTGGTTGACAAGGAACAAGTCAGGCGAGTCCAAGTATACCGTGGGGATCCAGGCTGGTACAGTCGCTTGGTCGTTGTCAAGATACGTGTCACTGGGTAAGACAATCTGGTCGAGAGGTGCAAAAGGGGTGACCGGTTATCGAGGTCTTAGTAGAGTTGTCGATCTCGTTGGCGCGTGCGACCGTGTGAGAGTAGAGATGTATCGAGAATCGGAAACCGATAGACGTAAAGAGGCGGTCGGGCCACGAATCGCATGGAGAGGGATGATGGCGACAGGGAGGTGAGATGAGGCCAGAAAATGGTGAGGAGATTCCACCTATGAAGAAGGATCAAGTTAAGGGAGACAAGAAGGGAAAGGATTAGGTAAACGTGGCGAGAGAACGTAGGAGCAATGAAAGAAGTGAAGGAAAACGGAAATGGGAGGATAGACGAGGGAAAGACGAACGAAGGAGAGTAAAGGTTAAGAACAAGAGGGAGAGGGAGAAGGAAGAGAGGGAGGGAGAGTTGTGAGAGAGGCTAAAGCCACGGATGGGCCATTCAAGCGGCGCGTCCCAAGACCCAGAGTAAAAGAGGAAAAGCGTGGAATATTTTTTCCCACCCGCTCTCGCTCGGCGGGAAAGCAGTTGCTGATCCTAGGTGATTAATTTTCTTTATTTTCTCGCCTTGGGCGGAATCCGTAGATAGAAGAAGAACATAATTAATAAGGAAAACGAGAGGGGGGTGTGGGAAGTAGGGAAAGCGATCGGACGAGCGCGAGAGAACTTGCCCGTCCGAAGAACGAATTGCGAGCCAGATCGTAAGGGAGGGGGGGAAGTGCGAAAGGACCAGGAGAACAAAAGGAAAGGTGGCTTTCGAGGTCGGCCGGAAACGAACCCACGCCGACCTTTGGGTCGAGGGCGTTGGACTCGGATTGGGGGGGCGGCCTGAGAAGTCAGGCTAGTTCGGCCGACAGTGCTGCCTGGGGAATTTGACGGTCGAAATTCCCGCCTATCCATTTTCGGCATGGAGGGCTGCCCTCGGTCCCAGAAAGGAAAGGTAAGTGCCAAGACTCATTTCGGGCATAGTGGGGAAGACGGAGAGAGCGACAAGTATGGAAGATCATCAAGGCAGCAAGGCTGACAGGCTGAGAACGTAGTGATCATAACCGTGGTGTGTTGAATCCAAGGTCGGGTGTAGGGGAAAGAAAAAAAAAAACAAAAACAAAAAAGAAAACAAAAACAAAAGCAATGGTGAGGAGTAAATACAGAAGTCAAAGAGCACAGAATAGGGATGATAAATAATACTTCACCTTCAATGCAGGGAAAGATTGGGCAAAAGATTTGGCCCGTCTGAGGTCAGTTCTGCCAGCACGTATCATATGTGCGTTACAACAAACATCATGGATCAGCTGGCCAGAAGGGGTAAATATAAAAACGACATGGATAACTTCGGATGCATGAAATGCAGGGTTAGTGACAGACACGGTTAGCACCAGAGCAAAGTCAAGTATGAGCAAAAAGAAGAGGATCTCGCCAGTTCAATGTTGTAGTAGGCCAGATCAACACTTGGGGCAAATTTAGTAGGTAGTCCCAATGCTTCTTATAGTAGAGCCCCATGCACATAGGGGGTTGCGGCAAATCTAATTTTGTAAGTTGAAGCGATAGAAAAAGAAAGGGGATGGAGCGAAAGAAGATAAGTGGAAAAAGGAAAAAAGAATATCAGATCAGACGGGCAATATTAATAAACAGGTTCATCCGGACCGTCCAGATTAGCCACACTGGCGTGAAAAGTGAGGGAGGACCGAACTGGATGATGAGGTATTGCTGGGGTCCCTCAGTTTATCATGAGTTGAGTAGAAAAAGCCAAGGACTGGGCCAGTCATGAAAAGTATTTCGACTGTAAAGAAGTTGAGCAAAGAAATGAAGGTAGTAGGGTAATCTGTGGTTGTGGTAGGGGTTGGTGGTGGATCACCAGGAGTTTAGTAGCGGTATGGGATGTTGTGAGAAAGAGGGGGGACTGGGGAAAATGACCGAAAGGCGAGTCATCTGGACCATGTGTCGGGATCGCGTCAAGGATAACATGATCTGATCAAGACACTGAGACAAAAAAAATGTCAAGTTCAGGGGGGTTCACAGAGAAAGAGAGAGAGAAACAGAGGGGTAGACGGAGCCCTTATAATTAGGTAGAACGAACTACGGGAATTTTGTCAGGAAAAAATGGTTCAACCCGAAGCGGATGAGGATGAAAAGAGCAAAGGGGAAACATTAACCATAACCCAAACAATGTTCGAGAGAGAGGAAGGGGAAAAAAATAGTAATGGCCTGCCTTTTTTCCCTCTAGTGGACGGGAGCAAGTGGCCTTTTTAGCGCCCTAAATTAATCAAGTTAGGAGGGCTGCCAACTCTGTCGGTGGCGAAGACGAGGCCCGTGGGGTGCCTCGGTGCCTGGGGAGTCAATTGCCCCCCGTCCTCAGGCACCATGGAGAGACTACGAAAAACTAGATCGTTTTAAGGGGTACGCCTTCATACGGAGCCAAACTTGCTTGTCGTTAATGTCGTCCTGACCTTTAATATTAATATCTGTATTATTATTATTGCTAATACAGATTCGCTTTTGGGACAGGAAAATCATGCGGCGCCAACTGATACATTACTACTCCGATACTGATTTCAACTTGGCCAAGAGTAGGCCACAGGAATCAATCACCCTAATGATAATATACCAATAACAATAATCGAATAAGTATAGTGCCAAGCTCGCCCAAAATTGAACCTTCCACTTTGTTTTATTACCAGGTTAGGTCTTTGGGCATCTAGTTTAAAGCGCGGGAACAAGACAAAACCCGGAATCTCTTGCCACTCTCTCCATCAACTCTGGGGTGTTATGAAGCGCTTATCAAGCGTGCCGCCACATCCATGCCTTCGGAGCTCCCCGGATTCAAGACGTCGCCGTGTGATGATGGAATTCATCAGGTGCCCAAAGTAAAGTAGAAGAAAACTAGACACGGCAATGTACGTAGGAATGGAGTTCCTCGCAACTACCCATGACGGGGCTGCTAGTATTAGGGCGTTGGCCAAGGGCAGAAATGTACAGGCTGCGATACCGAAATATGCACCGTACGGTTGGATACGTGTCTGGTTGGCTGGTGTGAACCCTTGTAGTGCGGTTGTCCGTCGGAACTGGAAATAGATAACACACGAGAACAACCACGAAATATAGCCGGACGTGGTGATGAAATACATGAGCAGATTAAAGACGACCGACGCAGACATTGCCAAGGATAGATACGCAAACCCAGAGAACAGTGCTGATATAGCAACAGAGATATAAGGCACACCATAGTCATTGCGTAGCTTGAACAACTCGGGGCCATGTCCAGTCTCAGCCAGGGAGCACAAGGTACGAGATGATATATAGAGGAATGATCGTCCAGAGGCCACAGATGACAGGAATATGAGAGCTGTTGCAACGGTTGGTAGAATAGGTATCCCAGATCTTCTAATGCCCACAATGTAGGGCGATAATCCAGCACCGATGCCATGATTCGTCAAAAGAGGCTCATCCGATGGGCTAGTCAGGGTGATGGCTAGAGAACTCAATATATAGAGTGCGAAAAGATGGATACAATCAATTCGAGTCACGTTCAAAATACTTCGGGTCGACTCTGAATCTACTTGCTCCGCTCGCTGAACGATCAATTCGGGGCTGAAGATGAAGGATATAGTGCTGCATAGGATACACTGTACTAGCCCTAGAAGCCGTCCCAAATGACCGTCAGTGAGATATTCGTTCATAGGACCAGGTTCGTGCCAGTATTGGAAGCCCCGCGCAGCAGATTCGGGGGCCCCCCGAACGGCGAGATAGCCAGAAATAATGATGAGGCCGATGGTTGTGACAAGTTTCAAAGCTGTGAATGCAGCCTCCGATCTTTTGAACACCTTTTCTGGCAACATGTTGAAGAAGAACACCACGGCAGTGACAATGCTGATCCGTATTGCAAGCCTAGCTCCGGGATTCCAAAGGCCAAGGTTGACCATTGCATTGGTGATTTCAAAGGGGACCAACGTAGCTATGGAAAGCCAGCGTAGATACCCGAGGGAAAATCCTAAATGGGACGAAGCATAGCGATAAGTGTGATTGACCATTGTGCCATTCTGGGAGGGTAGGTGAGCCGCTATCTCTGAGACAGCCGTCGATACACAGTATACCAATACGGATATGAATATGTAGGAGCCGAGCAATGAGGCTGGACCACCGGCAGCTAAAGCTTGACCGGAACCGATAAACAACCCGGTCCCTAGAGTAGGTCCTATAGCCATTGTGCAAATGGAACTAAAAACGATATAGGACGGGGTTCCGTCACTGAACTGTGCATTGGGTTTTAAAGCATTGACACAGTACAAATTGTTCACACATATCTTAGAGCACACTCGAATGGCGCTAATTAAATGTGTGTATGGTGAAACTTGAATTGAAAGTTGCTCCTTCCTTCATCGAGAGCATCATGGGGCGGGCCCGCATGTCGTTTCGCCCAAGGAAGGAACAGTGGCCAGCGTTGTTGGCACTCAGGGGGAAACTCCACATTGGAAAGGACAAGTAAAGAAAGGAAAGCTCGATTCTACTTATAATTAATCGTGCGAGACAAGCAAAAAATTGCCTGTCTACCCAATAATATAAGCCAGGGCTGTATGGGTATCACTGTCTAGTAAACACAACGATAGGATGCTAGATCGTATAAATGCAAGGAGAACCATGTCCCTCATGAAGCAAAATATCCTTACGGATATTGCGACAAGGAATATAACAAGATATTGCATCATGTGGAGACGGAAAAGCATTGTCGTGACGAAAGCATGTCCATCAGTAAGTCATATCAGCTTCGGCATATTCCAGCCATTCGTCTGATAGGGATTTCTTCCAGAATCGTACAGTCCCATCGTCACCAGAGGAAATGAGGCAATCACCTGTGCGCGTTTAGTATATGTTTGGATAGACACGGGCGGTTCAGCAGGGTATTACTGACCAGCGTACGAAAAGCCCACCTGCCACACGTCTAGATGTTTACTGTCGATACACGCTACTTCCTTATAAGTATGCTTAAATTGAGCATCCCCTGTTGCCAACCGGCTGGCCATAGACATCGGAGCGCGACTCGCAAGGGCGGAACCTATGCCCGATTGCGCTGTTGCACGGATCGAAGATGATTGTGTGGATGGCCGGGATTGCTCGCCGTTTGAACCGTGAGGCTCGTTGTCCACGGCGGATGTGTAAATCTCGAAAATTCGGATGAAGCCGTCCTTGCAACCACTAGCAATAAGATCATAGCCGCGAACGGAGCCATTGGCCCAAGAGATATCTCTCACAAGGCCTCCATGGCTCGACAGCTCAATTGCGTGATAGAAACGTCGACTGGCATCGGTGCGATATACTTTCACACTGTCCATAGCTGCCACTACTAGTGAGAGGCTTTTACGATCCGAAGATGGCAAAACTGAGTGGGTGATATCTGTGGGGTCGTGGTGAAATTGCACCTTGAAACTTGTTTCCTCTCCCCTTTGGGGTGCAGTGCAAACACGAAACTGATCAAGAGGCTGCCAGTCCGCGAGTGTATCTGGACTTACGGGTTCCATGACCATCAGGAACCCATCTCGTGTAATGACAGCAAGCCATGACTCGAGGTCAATATTGCGGAAGTCAATTGAGACGAACGGATGCCGGTGCGGTGCCGTCATGCGAAAGATAGACCGGAAGCGTCGGCCAGAGTTAGGAGGTTGGGTAACATCTTCTTGCCATATCTTGCATTTCATGTCTTCACCAACACTACCTATATGTTGGCCCGTAAATGGACCATTCCAGCTTGCCTAGGAAACCAGTTAGTATGCAGTTGGCACAGTACGGACTACAGAGTGAACTGAATACTATGGAACGTGGTTTTGCTTACATCGCGGATCTCAGCATCATGTGCACGCCAAGTGTCAGTTAATTGCCATTCACCGTCTTTCTGATCCCATACCTTCATACGGTGATCAGAAGAGGCCGTAACAATGCGATTACCATAGAAATTGAATTTAGTGACAGTTATCAAGTCACGATGACCGGCGTCGAAATCGGCGAATCCAGACATCTCAGGCCGGATTCAAGATCACCAATTAGAGTTTCAGCGCCAACCACCACGCAGCGAGTATTATACGCGCGTAATTAGGGGGCCGATAAGTTGCGTATGTTCCTAAAGAATGACGACGCTTTCACCCATGTATGGGACCAGACAAGCCGTGCATGTGAAGCAGCAAGCGGGTCAATAATGGGTAATTACGTAAGCCACATGACGCTCTATCCCGTTCAGGCAAAGTTGCGGATGATCTTTGGCAGCTTCTGACCTACCGCCCGAGATAAGCGGTCAAATTTATGTGGCAGAATTATACCTTGAAGCCAGATTGCTTCCATTGATCTTCTATACGGGATCTATAAGTAGTTCTCTCTATTGATCTTTAGACTCTGTCTCAGTAGAGAGGAACACTTCCACGGCTAGGGGAGCAATGCTGCAATTCTGTCATTCATGATGAATTCGAGCTCTCTTTCTCGCCAGGAGACCTGGCGTCTCTTGATGCTAGTAGGCGTCTGCGCTGGCATCCTTCTCAACACTTTCCAGGATGAGGGCGCGCCTTTGGTAGCATCAATTGCCTTTAGTGGGATTGTGTTTGCAGTCGCATACAGCCTGATCAGATGGCTGGGGCCAGTTTTCATGAAGGCAGGGTTGAAGGGAAGAGATATGGCAAAACCAAAGAGACCTGAAATGTATGTATTAATTTGACAATTGTTGCCGTAATGAATTGCGGAACGCAATCACTAGATGATTTTGGAACTAACTTTCTCCTGTACCAGCCCAGAGACAATGGGCGCAGTATGCGCAGTCGTGTATCTTCTGGCGCTTATATTCTTCATTCCCTTTGCTTTTTACAAAGACATCGTGGCAGCCACTTCAGGTGGAGGTAACCGTGATGTCGTTCTTGAAGTTCACCACGTTGAAACTGGTCGGATGCTCCACCGATTCCCTCACGGAAGGGTTTGTGATTCTCTAATTGCTTTTTGCTTATATCGGTTTATTGACAAGGGTTGTAGCTTGCATCTTACCTCTCTGGGCTCCTTTCTCTGCAATGTATTGTCATCCTGGGATTGGGTGATGACCTTCTTGACATTCGATGGAGACACAAAGTTCTCATACCAGCCTTCGGAGCAATCCCGATGCTTATAGTTTACTTTGTGGACTTTGGTGTCACACAGGTTGTCGTTCCGGTGCCCTTGCAGCCCTACTTGGGTTCATTTGTTGACCTCGGATGGCTGTATTACGTGTACATGGCTGCAGTGGCTATTTTCTGCCCTAACTCCATCAACATGTTGGCAGGGATTAACGGAGTTGAGGTAGCTCAGTCTCTGGTGATCGCAATCTTGCTCATAGCGAATGATGCGCTGTATCTTGCGCCCATCACGCCGTATCCCCATCCCGCCACTGATTCGCATCTCTTCTCCCTTTATTTCTTACTTCCATTTGTTGGGGTGTCGTTGGCTCTGTTGTTGCACAACTGGTACCCCTCCAAAGTGTTCGTCGGAGACACCTACTGCTATTTTGCGGGGATGGTTTTTGCCGTCGTTGGTATCCTGGGACATTTCAGTAAAACGTTACTGCTGCTTTTCATACCGCAGATATTCAATTTCCTGTATTCGACCCCGCAGCTGTTCAAGTTGATTCCCTGTCCTCGGCACAGATTACCCAAGTTTAATGCCGTGACTGGACTGCTTGACGCTTCTGTGACGGAGTGGACGGTACCACCTTCGCCACTAATCGCTGCTGGCCTGGAGCTTCTTCATTGGCTGCGATTGGTGCGTGTTACAAAGAATGACCATGGTCAAATTGTGGAATCAACTAACTTGACGATACTTAATCTGTGGCTGGTGTGGATGGGACCAATGAAAGAGAATCGGCTGGCATGGAATATGGTCGCGGTTCAAGTTGTCTGTGGATTTTTTGGTCTATTTGTGCGGCATCGGCTGGCATTGCTCGTATTTCGCGAAGATAACCGGGCGTTTTTGCCTCAGTTATAGATTTAAAGATCAATAGAAACTAACCAGAAACGATCTTGATTGATATACTTTATATCTTGTCAGAAAACCCTGCGCGTAGATCAGCTAGTAATAACTTATGTAGGTCTTCGAAAATCCAGCCTGTATAACAGAACAAAAGCCTGAGTCATTAATATAGAATAGAACCGAAGAATAGACCCATTGTCAATTGTCAATGAATCTGAAGGTAAGTCCTGAGCGAAATCTTCACTATCCTTCATAAGTATTTCGTACGGAATCGTACCTTACAGTCTCATACTGGCCAATCTTATAATACTGGGGTTATACCTTTCTCTTAGAGCTAACTCCGCATATCTATCTACTAACATTAGGTAGAGAAAGGCTATAAGAGCTGTATAGTTTCTACCCCATATTTCGATTTGACTATATTTAAGAATGGTAGGCTCAAGAACTGGTAGCTCGAGGTAAAAGATCTTCTATGTAAAGGATTCCAGAGATCCAGGATTGGTAAGTACTATATAGAAGAAGGACTATTAAACAGCGTACTAGTCGTAAGTAAAAAAGGCATATATAATCTGTACTATAAGCTTACCACTGAGGAAGTATAGGTTAATATCAGAGCTAAGGGATGGTAATGTGCTAGAGATAAAGAGGGGTTTACCTACTACATTCCAGACTCAAGGTGAATACAAAGTGTCACGGGTATCCAGCTCCGGCTCCGAGTTAAGTAATGTTTGGGACATGACGCACAAACAGTTGCGGAGATACGGGCCAATTTTCTGCCCCACCGGACCCCGGAGTTAAGGTACCTACTAACTGAGCCCTGCCGCCAATCCTGATTACTCAACCTGTCATCCATCGGCATAAGCGTTTTCTTAACCCCATGGGAAAGCTCAACTCAGTCCCTCTTAACTGCGGTTATGATGTAGCTCCATCCATAACTCCGTCGGCTCATTCAGCAGACTTGGCCCAGCATGGAAGCTATAAATACGGACCGCAATCACCGTGGTGGATGGTTCTTGGGTCCATTACTTAGTATCAATTCCTGATTCAAAGTTTTGTTTTATATATACACTTTAAAAGTATATACTTCAACATGTCCGAAATTTTCTCGCCTGCCCCAGAGCCCTCCACTGAGCTGGGTCGCTACCGCGTCCTCTCTTCGACTGCGGGCATCCGCGTGTCGCCACTGCAACTGGGTGCTATGTCCATTGGGGATGCATGGTCTCACTTTATGGGATCAATGGACAAAGAGTCCTCATTCAAGCTGTTGGATGCCTTTGTCGAAGCCGGAGGCAATTTCATCGACACGGCCAACAACTACCAGAATGAGCAATCAGAAGCTTGGCTAGGCGAATGGATGACAGCCCGGAAGAATCGTGATCAACTTGTCCTTGCGACCAAATTCACTACGGACTACAAGTCGTATGCACTTGGAAAGGGCAACGCACCGAACCACTGCGGTAACCACCGCCGCAGTCTACACATGAGCGTGCGCGACTCCCTGCGCAAGCTCCAAACAGACTGGATCGATATTCTATACCTTCACTGGTGGGATCATACCACCTCCATTGAGGAAATCATGGACAGCCTTCACATTTTGGTGGAACAGGGCAAAGTGCTCTACCTAGGAATCTCGGATTCCCCTGCGTGGGTTGTGAGTGCCGCCAACACCTACGCTCGAACCCATGGTAAGACCCCCTTCAGTATCTACCAGGGCCGGTGGAATGTGATGCTTCGTGATTTCGAACGTGAGATTATCCCCATGGCGCGCCATTTTGGGATGGCTCTGGCCCCTTGGGATGTCCTCGGCGGAGGCAAATTCCAAACCAAGAAGGCACTAGAGGAGCGGAAGAAGAAGAATGAAGGATTGCGAAGCATGATTGGCGAAGGTGGGCAGACCGAGGATGAAGTTAAAATGAGTGAAGCACTGGCCAAGGTTGCATCAGAGCATGGCATTGAATCTGTAACGGCTGTTGCTTTGGCCTATGTCATGCACAAAGCAACTAATGTCTTCCCACTGGTTGGTGGCAGGAAGGTGGAACACCTACATGACAATATTCAGGCTTTGAAGATTAAGTTGACGCCGGAGCAAATTGAATACCTCGAGAGTGTCAGGCCACTGGATGTCGGATTCCCCAACAACTTCATTGGACCCGACCCGAGGGTGACAGGCCGAGCATCTGGATTGCTGGCAGCAAACGCCCCGCTAGCCTTTGTGCCGGCATCCAAGCCTATCACCCCGGCATGAGGAGTTTCTTATTGTGATTTGTACAGCGTCGGTGTTTATGTTAAACTAAGATTTGAATGTGTATGTTACAGCTATACTAAACTACGCAACTAAGAGAGTTCATTACGTCATAGTACGGACCCAGCTTTAAACTCCTGCTTCCATAGGGAGTACTCTAGGGTAAATATTCTTCACTTTACGAGGAGACGTATGTCATGATTTTTCATTGCAGATAGGGGAACATGGAGTTGACTGCTACTCGTCTCCTCTGTACTCGGGTCTGGCCATGCGACCCGACCAGTGAGGAGGATCGGAGACCATAAAGCGCTTTCTCACACTAGTGACGCAGTGCAACGGCATGGTTAATCTAGCGGGATTCTTGTCTCAAAATCAAGCAATCACACCCGCAACGTTAGTCAGGACCCGTGGTTTCCGCCGCAGCTAAGCGCGCAGCCACCGGTGTCGGGGCCCGGGGAACTGTGGGGCGTCGAAATCGGCCAATTGCCACCCGGATATTGGCCGCTGACCAGCCGAGATCGGGGATGCCCCTCGATGGCTGCCCTGCGACATCGCGGTCTTCAAGAGGGTTAAAATGTTCCCCAAGGTATCTCTGTATTTGTCCAGATTCCCCAGATATAATTTCTTCAAAACTGTCGGCGAGGACGCAAGTGTCTGTGTCTAGCTTGTTTGTTTGTTTCCATAACTCCCTCCTTTCCCTCTTTCCTACCTGTTTCTCTGCCCCTCATGCCTGCTGTTGATAAGAAGCCCAGGACCTTGTATGACAAGGTCTTGGATGCGCACATTGTCAATGAGCAAGAAGATGGTACTATCTTGCTGTATATCGGTATGTTCTCTTCCTCTGTTCTGCTTTTGGTTTGTTTAGTTCACGTTTGATTGACATTGTTCTGCAGATAGACATCTTGTCCACGAAGTGACTTCACCAGTATGTAGCGTCGCGCCACAGCCAAGTCATACATTCTGTCAACTTGTTCCGGATGATATTTTTTTTTGGCAAAGTCTAACACTCCCATAGCAAGCCTTTGAGGGCCTCAAGAATGCTGGTCGGAAAGTCCGCCGGCCGGACTGCACTCTTGTCACAGTTGATCACGTATGTCAACAAAAGTTTCCCCGACCCCATGACAAAATCTAATTCAGACGCAGAATATCCCAACATCCACTCGAAAGAACTTCAAGAACGTCGAAGATTTTATCGAAGAGACCGACTCCCGTCTGCAATGTACCACACTGGAAGAGAACGTGAAGGACTTCGGACTTACATATTTCGGCATGGGAGATAAGCGCCAGGGTATCGTTCATATCATCGGTCCAGAGCAGGGTTTTACTCTTCCTGGAACGACGGTCGTTTGTGGTGACAGCCATACCTCAACACACGGTGCCTTTGGCGCCCTCGCTTTTGGTATCGGTACAAGTGAAGTCGAGCACGTCCTGGCCACCCAGACCCTTATCTCTCGCAGAAGCAAGAACATGCGTATCCAGGTCGATGGAGAGCTCCCCGCAGGTGTTACAAGTAAGGATGTTGTCCTCCACATTATTGGTGTTATCGGAACTGCCGGAGGTACTGGTGCCGTTATCGAATTCTGCGGCTCTGTTATTCGCGGCTTGAGCATGGAGGCTCGTATGTCGATGTGTAACATGTCTATTGAGGCTGGTGCTCGTGCTGGCATGATCGCACCCGACCAGATTACGTTTGACTACCTCAAGGGTCGTCCTCTCGCCCCGAAGTACGACAGTGCTGAGTGGAAGAAGGCTGTCAACTACTGGTCGAGCCTGGCCTCCGATGAAGGCGCCTTCTATGACAAGACAATCGTGCTTGATGGCAAGGACATCATCCCAACTGTCTCTTGGGGTACTTCTCCTCAGGATGTTATTCCTATCAATGGCGTTGTTCCAGGACCCGATGACTTTGAAGATGAGAACCGCAAGCTGGCCTGCAAGCGCGCACTCGAGTACATGGGTCTCGTGGCTGGTACTCCTATGAAGGAGGTCCAGATTGACAAGGTCTTTATCGGTTCTTGCACGAACGCTCGTATTGAGGATCTGCGGGCAGCTGCGAAGGTCGTTCGGGGTAAGAAGATCGCCCCTAATGTCAAGCGCGCGATGGTCGTCCCTGGTTCGGGTCTCGTGAAACAACAGGCTGAAGCTGAAGGTCTCGACAAGATCTTCACTGACGCCGGCTTTGAGTGGAGAGAAGCTGGTTGCTCCATGTGCCTGGGTATGAACCCCGATATTCTCTCGCCCAAGGAGCGCTGTGCTAGTACGTCGAACCGTAACTTCGAGGGTCGCCAGGGTGCTCAGGGTCGTACTCACTTGATGTCCCCTGCCATGGCTGCGGCAGCTGGTATCGTCGGAAAGCTTGCGGATGTCCGTGAGCATGTTGTCACTAGCCCCGTTTTGGGTAAGGTGCAACCCAGGGTTGATGTCCAGCCGGAGGCGGAAGATATCGACACTGAGGAAGAACTCGAACGTATCTTGGACCAGCCCGCAGACAACGAACCCCACACCAACACCTCTAGCGGCTCGAGCGCTGGCCTGCCTAAGTTCACCACCCTTAAGGGCATTGCTGCCCCCATGAACCGCTCCAATGTCGACACTGACGCCATCATTCCCAAGCAGTTCTTGAAGACCATCAAGCGGACCGGTCTTGGTAGCGCGCTTTTCTACGAGCTGCGCTACAAGGATGGCCAGGAAGACCCCGAGTTTATCCTGAACCAGGGTGTCTACCGCAACTCCAAGATCCTCGTCGTCACCGGTCCCAACTTCGGCTGTGGTAGCTCTCGTGAACACGCACCCTGGGCCCTCCTCGACTTCGGCATCAAGTGTATCATCGCTCCCTCCTTCGCTGACATCTTCTTCAACAACACCTTCAAGAACGGCATGCTCCCCATCCCGATCTCCGACGAAGCCGCTCTGCAGAAGATTGCCGCGGAGGCCAGCGCAGGCCGTGAGATTGAAATCGACCTCGTCAACCAGGAAATCAAGGATGCCCAGGGCAACAAGCTCTCTGGATTCGACGTTGACGCCTTCCGCAAGCATTGCCTGGTCAACGGCCTGGACGACATCGGCCTGACCCTCCAAATGGAAGACAAGATCCGCACATTCGAGACCAAGCGCACTCTCGAGACCCCCTGGCTCGATGGAAGTGGCTATCTGAAGCGTGGCAACCGTGGCGCTACCATGGTTCAGGCTGCCCCTGTCCCTAAGACCAACCGGGGAGATGTCAAGACCGAGCCTTTGGAATGGTAAACAAAAAAGTTCCAGTGTCAGCTTTTTTCTTTCTCTTTTCATTTCGGGTACGATACGACGTTTATGCAGCTATACTCTCTTGATTCTTGGTAATATGTTATATTGGCGAAGGAATTATTACAACCACATTGGGAAAGGTTTCGGGCTAAGAATGATTATTTATAAATACCTGATCAGCTAGATACTAAAGAAGCCTAGCTTTCACAACGAATACAATAACTATTTAATAAGTGCATGTGCAATACCTTGTCCAGAATTATTATTAAGACTCCATCTCACATACTTTACCAACAAAAACACGCAATTTGAACCCCCAAGGGCCAATTAGAGGGGAAAATATCAAAGAAATCCAATCAAGAACCAAAACACAAAACTAACAACCCAACAACAGCATCAAATGGATATAAAGAGCGACAGAACACAAAAAATATCAAATGAACAAGAGCATCAGACCAAAAACACAAAAACAACAATCCATCCATGCATTTGTATAAGGAACGTAACGACATCCGATTCATCATCAGTAAATAACCCATTAGAGCATCATATATGCAGTGAAATCGTCTCTCCCCCCTCCACAGATGATACGGGAGGGCGGTATATAAAGTGAGAGTGATAAAAAAAAAAAAGGGAAAGAAACATAAATACCTCCTCATCGGACGTCAGACATAGAATGTTTAATGTACAAGAACCCCGGTTGCTTTTTCTGTGTTCCTCCTCTTGCTTCTATGGGGTCCCCCGCTTTCTGGCGCTGTGAGAATACTTTTTTTTTGCGGCTTTTCTGGGAGTCTATTGAGTTATTTGGAGCCCGTGCCGTGCCGTGGCTTCATGTGTGTAGCTGTCAGGTGTATATTATATTGGTTGTATACGGAGAGTTGAGGGGGTGGTTGAGTGTCGGGTGCAAAACATGGTTATTAGTAATGATTTAGGGCTTGGTGAGTTGCTCTTTCCGGAAGAATAGGAGGAATCCGGCGCTGGGTTTTGTTAGCAACCTGCTTGTATGAAATGGAGTGTGGATGTATTGATGACTTACCAGATCAACAGCTGGAAGAACAAGGCGATCCAGAACCAAGCGTTTGCGACGGAACTGCCACCGGCAGTCACATCCGGCGAGATTGGTCCGGGGCCGATGTTGTTTGGAGCACATGCTCGGGCAACGATTGTTGCGATGGAGCCCAGTACTTGGGATGCAAGCAGGGTGAAGGCGATGTGTACTCGTGTGAGGGTCTGGAGAAGAATCATGCCGAAGCCGAGGCCCTGTAGGGCATCAAGAATACCGAGCCAGAGCCATAAACTTCGTGATGCGAGTGCTCCGCTAACAGAACTGCCAGCCCAGGGAAGGAAGAGACCCATTCCAGAGACACCCCACCATATCTGGGCCCAACGTGGAGCTCCCAGACCACATGCAAATACAGGTAGAATCCAGCTATGGCGCTTGGAGAGGTATCCAAACATGGTTAACACTGCTACCCAGATGACGCCGAAGAAGACAATGACGAGGATGCCGACTTGCCAGGCTTCAGCATGGTTTGAGCTCCAAAGGACTGTATGAGGCACGACAAGTTAGCGGTTTCTACAGAGTATGGGGCTAGTGTACTTACAGCCCCAGTTCCGTCCATAAGGTGCGCTGAGGAAGAAGTTCTGCAAGATGACTACCACGAAGTTCCACAGAACGATCTTGCGCCGGAAGACGGATTTGTAGAATGATGGAACTTTTCCAGGTGACTGGCGGTAGTAATTTGGCAGGCCGAAGAAGATGATCAGACCAATGGCCCAGAGGAATGCAGCGATTGGCATGCAGATTGCTCTAGAATAGGCTATTAGCA